ATGTAGGTCAAATGAGACCAGTGGGGTGGACCCTACTCTGGTAGCACTGTGACCTTCTTAGGAAAGGAAGCGATCTTTTTCCCTCTCCTTTCCCCTCTACTTCTTGCCATGTAAGGATACATTAAGAAGGTGGCCATCTACAAACCAGGAAGAGGGCCCTCACCAGAACCTGACTATGCCAGCACCCTGATCTCAGACTTCCAGGCTCCCAGACTGTGAGAACATAAATGTCTGTCGTATAAGAAACTCAGTCTGTGGTATTTCGTTATGACTGCCTGAGCTAGCTAAGACTGTGCCCACTTACAGATGGCCTGGTAAATATAAGTAATCAATAGTTCTTTTTTTTTTTTTTTTGAGAGAGAGAGAACTGAGTGAATGAGGCATTCATTGTCATGTTTACAAATGTGTTACTTCCTCAATATAGAATGATTGCAATTGAGGGGGGTGAGAGAGGGAAGGAGCTCTTGGTAGTGTGAATAAGAGGCAGCTATGACAAACGAAGAAACAAACACATAAATAATGTAAAGGCCTGAAAAGGCTTAAAATTCACAAATATATAAATATAGAAATCATTTTGCTAGGCTTGGCTCTGAAATTGGGCATGGGGGATGGTTCTTGGTTAGAGAGAGAGAGAGAGAGAGAGAGAAGTGTGTGTGTGTGTGTGTGTGTGTGTGTGTAAGAGCCCTCCTTAACATTAGATAGGACTATCTAAATCTATGTGTATTTAGGCACAATCTGGATATTGCTCTACACAGAGAAATAATACCCTAAACTGGCAATGAGATTCCTCAAGTAAATAGCAGATAAAGGGGGGAAGAGGGACACAGTGTTAACAATAATTGGAATAATTGGAATTCTTGTATCCTACATGGCACTTACAGTGAAAGTATCTTCTAAATTGTCTTCTACCACATGCAGTGTAGGTAAATGATATAAAAAGTTCTTAGAATATTTTAAATACATTTTCCAAGAAAATGTAAGATGAAAGTTAGCCAATTCTATTAAGCTGGCAAATGAAATCTGAATCACTTATTGATTCATAATGAAGAGCAGCCATTCTGTCTGGCAACCAAGAATTCTAATCATCTGCATCAAGTCCTGAGCAAGAAGACAGAAAATGGCATCTGAGGTCACAGGGTTTGTAAGAGAAGGGGTCTTTGGCTTGATTCTTGGTTAAAAATCATGCCTTTTTCTTTGCAGCAGCAGTGGGTTTAGAAATGGATGAAGGGACACTGATTCCACTGGGCGTTTTGGTCACTTGCATCTTTGCACCTGCTGAGCTTCAAAGTGTCCATGAATAGTGGAATGTTAGTAAAATTCTGTGGTCTTAAGGGTTCTCATGCTGGGAAGTCTGGGAAGAATAAAGTAGATCTGTGCCTTGATGCCAGAGGAAGCTGCAAAGCCAGCACCTGCCTGGTTGTGCCATTGGTGGGAAATGGGGCACATGTGCTCCAATTTGTAAGAGATCTCCTGGGCCAGGTGGCAACATCAATCACAGAACTCAGAACGACAGTTACTATAGAGGTTGGGGGTTGACTACAATGGTCAGGAAGGAACTTTCTGGGTGATGGAAATACTCTATATTTTGACTGGCAGGGTTGTTACATGGGCATATCCTTCTCCCCAGATTTATCAAACTGTATATGCATGTCCATTCTACTGTATGTAAATTTTGACTGAAAAAGCAAAAATCCAAAACTGGGTGAAAATTAAAGGCTAGGAGCTAATAAAAACACTTAAAACAAATGACCAAACTATCTTTAAAACGAGCCCTTAAAAGGACTCATTATTCATCCACTTTAGAGGAAAACAGATGACGTCAAATAAATGCTCAAAAACAAGCTCCCCATCATGGCATTTGTAATCAGCACAACGATCAGTTTGAACAGAGCTAAACCTGCACTTCTCAGAGTGCAGGAACCATGTCTGGTGGGATAAGCTATCATGGAGCTATTTCTACATTTATTTATTTTTTCATGTTTCTGTTGAGGAATTATGTTTTTGTTACTGTAAAAAGCTTTTAATGGAGCTAGAGAAGAAGCTATGTTTGGCCACAGTATTATCTGGTTAAGAACTAAAATGCAGAGCCCTCTGGTGAATCATGTCGCCAAGAACTGCAGACTTAACACATTGAGATGGTACAGATTTGAATTTTGACTTTATGTTTTCAGTCATTGTGAAGATACAGAGATAACAAAAAAACAGTTATATAGCAAAAAACAGTTTTTATAGCAAAAAACAGTTTTGAAAGTGGTAGGACATCACTTAGAAAGTTAGTTTTTAGACACCGTTATTCTGACAGATGGGATATTATTTTATCCTCGGAAGTATCTGTAGTAATTAACTAGCTGATGTTTAATGACTTAATAATGATCAAACACCATTTTAGGCTCTCAAATTCCCAAATATTTCTAGCTAGAACTTGTCCTCAAGGAGCTTCTGAGTAAAAGGTTAAAAATTATATTTATATAAATAACTGATTCAAGGAAGAATGGGTTAACTGCACGAGAACTACCCCTGGAGCTCAGAGGACAGGAATTCTCTTTGGATAAGGAATAGAGGAAGGTACCATGGATTCAGTGGCATTGAGACTGGACCTTAAAAAAGGAGATGCTTTTCCCTGACAAGTCAGGAAGGTGGGGGTTCTAGACAGAAAAATTTGGGGGTCTTGGAGTATTATACTTTCATTTGGCTGAAGCACGGGTCACACACCGAAGCCACCAGACTAGAAAGGATGGCGATGGAGAAGAGATGTCTGGAATTCCTGGGGAAGCTGGGATCTGGGTCAAAAAAGTCAAGAAAATAAATCCGCAGCAGAATTCAGGAAAAATAGGGAGAAGGAAGAGGCAGAAGGTCTTTAGGAGGCACTGGCACAGGTAAGGCAAGGAGGGATGGAAAAGGAGCGATGGCAATGCAGTGATGAGCAGAAGTGGCTAAGCTAGATTGCTTGGGAACTACTTCTTGATCCCATATGAAAGGTAATGGAAAGTCAGGCCTCAAAGGAAAATGCTAGAATTTTAATCTGGTGACCAGAGGGACAGTGATGCTGTACACAAAGGGAAGTTGGAGGAGGGGGGTGACCATGTTGGAGGAGAGAGAATGAGAGCTTGGGAGATGATTGGAAACGCGGGTCCGGAGATACACTGGGCAGTGGCTCTAGAGAAGTAGACTTTACCTGGTCAGTCAGTCAGTCATGGCAGGGCTGTGTGTCCCACAAGAGAGGTGATAGGAAAGGAGAGAAAGTTGGAGCCAGAGCCACTAGAGGAAAGTCCATATTGGGCTCCTGGGCACCATGCTTTCCTACCCACCATCACCCAACATGGCAGACCAAACTGATCAGGATGTTGACAGAAATTACTGGAAAGAAAGGGGTCAAGAAAACTGTCTTTATTGGACATGTCAGACTTTGATCACAAGTCTCTGCAGATTCAGAGTCTCTGAGAAGACAGCTAGGCTTCTTATCCCTCCTGTGTTCAAGGTGAACATTTGCAGGTTCTCTTTCCCTTCCTCCTTCCCTTCTTATTTCCTCTTTTCTTTTTTTTCCTCATCTCCACTCTCTTCTCACTTCCCCTCCCCTCCCTTCCCTTCTCCTTTCTGTCCCTCTTGCATTTACTTGTTTTATTTTGGACTGGCCTAGTGAATACGTGACCATTGTTGACCTATGAGAGGAGGTACTGTCACCAGGATTCACCACTGTCACCGACAAAGGATAATAATCTTTCTTTTCATTATAATTTTTTAGATTTTTGTGGTGCTGGGGGTTGAACCCAGGGCATCCTACATGCTATGCAAGTGCTCTACTGCTGAGTTACATCCCTAGTCTTCAGTATTTATTTATGTTCAATATTTATTGTCATTGCTAATTGCAAAGGGAACTCTTCTGTGTTCCAATATTGCATTATTTTGGGTTTTTCAAAGCACTCACAAAAAATATATATTTGCATTATGACATAATTAGCCTTTTTTTTAAAAAAAAACTTTCTACTTTTTTATTTGTACTAGTTTTAAGAGCCACTCATAAATCTCTTGGTAACTGCACAGGTTCCTAAAACCAGAGACTAGCCACTCCTGGCATTGTGATTAGAGTTATTTAATACCCAAGGCAGTGACAAATGTCTGGCAATGAGGGCACTACTAGGCGTCATGTGTCCTGGGACCCCGGGGGAGGGCACACTAGGAGAACCTTACCCCAACTCTTGCTCCCTGGTCAGGAGAAATGTTGAGAATCAGGCGGACGCATGAGGGCACTGTCAGGAAAAGTAAGACCCCTGCCTACAGTCAATGCCAGTACAACTAAAAGCTTAAAATCAGTGAAAACAAAGGTCCTACCTTGGTCTTATCTTCATACCCTCAGACTTAATACATTTTTCACATGTTTACAGGAAGCAGTCAAGGAGATATTGGTGGAGAGTTTCGTGGGTTTGGTTAACGAGGTGGAGGAGTATTACTTTTCAGCTGCAAACGTACCCCTGGAATGCCAAGACATTTATTTCAAAGTCTGATTTCCTTGTGCCACTAGAGGATTGGCAATAGTGTGGCTACTCAGAGATGTGTGGGGCTGGGACCAGTAAGGCATTTGATCCAAGTGTATTCCAGGAAGCTTTTCTTGTTAAATTATATTCTTCAGAGAAAAAAAAAAAAAAAACCACCCCTGGCACATTTTGTAAACTTGATCTCTATACACTTTTGATGGGCATTCTATTTTCGCCATAAGCCTATGATTTACAGCTAGGCTGGTTTCCCTCTTGCGTAGGGTGACGATGGCAGAAAGCTTGGGACACAAGTAGGGAGCAGAGGGGGCTGGAGTTTCTTTTCCCCAGGTAGACACACTCTAGCTATGCCACACTGCTGTCCCCAGCAGACAGCAAGCCTCCCTCACTCCCCACTGCCATTCATCCAGCTCTGTTCAGCAGCCCAGCTGCCGCGTCTGCCGGGAGGGGCTGCCAAGTGCCCTGCCTACTGGCTGCTTCCCGAGTCCCTGCCATTCCACACACAAACACATCCACACACGCTCTGCCTTGATCACACACCGAGCCACTCGAACATGCGAGCACATTCCTTCCTCCCTTCTTACCGTCTCGGCCCTTGACTTCTACAAGCTCATGGAACATTTCTGGAAAGACACTCTTGATCCAGCAGGGTAGGATTGTTTTGATCTCTCTCTCTCTCTCTCTCTCTCTCTCTCTCTCTCTCTCTTTTGAGCATTTTGAGAAAGCAACTTACCTTTCTGGCCAGCGTCTGTATCCTAGCTGGGAGATGAGGATGTGCCGTTTTCCATTGGGGGGGGGGGGGTGTGTGCGGCTCCCTTTTCTTTCAGGTGTTGTAGGATTCTTTGTGCCATTTATATATATAATTTGGCAGGCTCAGATTTTTAAAGAGCCCCATGAAGTGCTTTTGCATGTGTTGTAAAGAAGGCATTTGAAAATTGAAAGTGTGATTTACGGAAACTAAATCATCTGTAAAAAAAAATTGCTCTGGAAAGTAATTGTTGCTGGCCATAAAGAGAGAAATATCTGCAATTCACCTAATGTGTTTTTAACCCTTTCTCTGCTTATGATCTATAGTTATTGATGCTAAACTCAATTTTGGTTTCATATTAAATCAGTTCATCTACATATCATCCAAAATTGATCTGTTTTTGCAAGAATTAGATAAAAATGTGTACTTAGTATAAAATATTATGAATGTTACCATTAGTAACAGCAACCTTGGCATTTATATATGCCATGAACATTTTGTCAGTTACTCTTTTGGGCATTTGAGATAGCAATTAAGGTAAAGTATTAATGGCTATATCAGAGGCTATTAGGCTGTAGCAAAGGAAGTTTATTAAGAAGTATAAACTAATCAAGACTATGGATTATGATATACTTGACCAGATATTTTATCTCATTAATAGGACTGTGTGTGCATGTGTGCATGTGTGTGTGAGTGCAAGCGGGGTGGCTTAGCTTTAATTCAGTTGAGTTCAAAAATTGTTTCTATTTCTTTTTCATTTGGATATTTGCTTCTGCATATTCCAGCCCAAGTGGACCCAGAAAGTCCAGCTGTAGGACTAAAGAGATGAAATGCAGAAATGCATTTTAAAATTGCTGGTTAGATGGACAGTGTAACATAACTGCCAAAGCTTTAGCTAGTGACCTCTGAGAGGTTATGTTTTGTGGGGAAAGGTTGCATTGCATATTCAGTTTTCTGAAGTTTTGGTTGCATAACCTGTGGAAGGCATGAACACCCATTTGTGCCTAACCAAAGGTTTTTCTGAATCATCATTCACATGAGAATTTCTAAAGGGAGCAAGTACAGCACCGTGGTCCAACATAAATAGAAAAGTCAGGCTGGGAGAGTCTCAGAGGTTGTGTCTGGAAAGGACCTTGTCAGAAGCTTTCAGCAGATGAAAAACTGAAGCGCGGCAGGATTCTCCTGCCTGCAGAAAGCAGTTCTTCCTATAAGTACACCTTGCATCTCCACTCCCCTTGCCCCTACATGCCTCCTATCAGTTCCTTCAGCTGCTAAATATAGCCGGCTGTGGCTGGCTGCATATGCAACTGCACACTCCATCCTATCTACCATATCTCAGTTACAGAGCAGTCCTCCCCAGGGTCATTCTATGTACACACTACATATTTCTAGCCAACAAGGAGAGTGAATCAAATAGAAAGACAAACAGAGATAGATGGGAGCCTGGCATGGGCACATCAGGCAGCACTTTAGAAAAAGCTGGCCCCTGGCTTAGTCTTCTGCTTCTGTTTTAACCCTCGTCTTCCCTGAGCCACATTTAGGAGATCCCTCGGCGTCCCCATGCCCTTACGGTGAAATTCAGCCGTCATTCAGCAGCGACCACAAGTAAAGTTAAGTTCTGGGAAGCGGCTCTTTGGGGTTGCTCCAGAAGGAGCGGGGCCTGGAGTGATGTTTGAACCAGTGTCAGTGAGAGGCAGTGGTCCCTGGCAGGATTCCAGCACCTTTGTAACACTTGTAAGCAAAGGAGACCTGTACTTAAAGTTAGAGACTAGGGAGACCGGGAGCTGGCGGGGCGCGTTCGCACCAGGGTTGCACTTGCTGGAGTTTGGCCAGAGTTTGGCCACTGGGCTCCACGGTCGGCCCCCGGGGCAGGGCCAGGCCGGAGTTCCAGTCGCCTCAGGACATGAGCCGCACCACCTCTAACCGCGGACTGTGCTCTTTTTCCAGGTGGCCCACCGGCTGCTAAGCCCTCTGTCGCCCAGGGAGACAGTCTGCGCCTTGCCCCGCGGTCACCGACCATGACCATGACTCTCCACACCAAAGCATCAGGAATGGCCTTGCTGCACCAGATCCAAGGGAGCGAGCTGGAGCCCCTAAACCGCCCGCAGCTCAAGATACCCTTGGAGCGGCCCCTGGGTGAGGTGTACGTGGACAGCAGCAAGCCCGCGGTGTTCAACTACCCCGAGGGCGCCGCGTACGAGTTCAACGCCTCCGCCGCCTCCGCGCCGGTCTACGGCCAGTCGGGTATCGCCTACGGCCCCGGGTCGGAGGCGACGTTCGGCGCCAACAACCTCGGGGGCTTCCCCCAGCTCAACAGCGTGTCTCCGAGCCCGCTGATGCTGCTGCACCCGCCGCCGCAGCTATCGCCCTTCCTGCACCCCCACGGCCAACAGGTGCCCTATTACCTGGAGAACGAGCCCAGCACCTACGCGGTGCGCGAGGCCGGCCCGCCCGCGTTCTACAGGTACCCGCGCCGGCCGCGTCGCGCCGCGTTGCATCAAGTCGGGTGGCCGGTGCGCGCCCTGCGGGAGGGGAAGGGGGGAGCCTGCGGGCACCCGCGCGGGTCCCAGCTCGCCCGAGGAGGCCACGAGTGGGATGCAGGCTGGAGCTCTTTGGGCTGCAAGGGCGGGAGCCCTGGGGTTGTTTGCGGAACCCGGGGTCTGTACATTGGTACTTAAAAAACAGTTGTTCTCCACCCTCCTATGGTCTCTGTGAGAGGCGGATCCCAAAGCCCGTGTGCTGCCTAAGTATGTTTTGGAAAATTATACAAAGCAGCACTTATTTGTGGGGGCTAAATACCCCAAAGCAAATAAACTCAAGGCACTTTGAGTCACTAGTAAAGGTCCTGCTTTACTATTTAAAGTTGGAGGTATTTGGGGTGAGTGGAACTCAGGAAAGTTTTTAAAAAATTTATTATTATTATTATTATTATTTTACTTTAATATGCCAGTAAAATTTTCTTTTATCTAGAATCATGAATTTGGAATATGCAAGGTATGATGGTGATTTTGGGGAAGCGATTCTTATCATCCACTTCACCCTTCCTCCGCATCCTAGTTTCGAAGGGTTTTGGATGGAATCGCGCTGCTCAGAAGATTCATACAAGAGTTGAATGAGTCTCAACAATTTTCTGATTTCTGACTGAGTTTCTGGCTGATTCCGTGTTGGAGCAGATTGCTGGCATGTGACTTTTGACAGCCGGAAATTTATAGGTGTCCTGTAAACTTAAAACATGCCATATTGAAACACCAGTGATTCAAAATAATCTCCTGCCTGCTAAATGACACATCTGTTCTGCCAGGCATAGAATGCCCCTGGGCTGGTGCGGGGTCAGCGGGGGTCGTCGCCTTTTTCGTCTTGTGCAAGAAATCCTGGCAGTGCACAACACAGGGGAAACTCTTTGCGACCTGAGTGGTGATTGTTTTGTGGCTTTATTATCTCCTAATAGAGATTGCTTCTCCTGCCTCCCCATTACCTTTCATTTTCCCTTGAGCAGTTCCCCTTCCTCTACAGAGGGCCCATAGAGAGCTTGGGTGGGCCTTTCTGGTAAATACAGGTATGGGAGGACAGAGAGAGCTGGGTCTGTTTGGGAGACTTCAGGGTGCCCACATTAGGCACTTTCCCACTGTACACTGGTGTCTAAAGCCTTCTGCTGTGCTGGCCCAGTCCTCCTGCAGTGCAAGCTCTGGACCATTTTCTGCTCAGTGTTCCTTTCCCAGAGGTATTTATAGCAGAAGAAACTGGACTAAGGAGCAGGTTGGCACCCGAGGATACTGGAGAGCAGACTCTTGGGGTATCCAAGGATACATCTTCATCTCCGTTAGAGAAATCTGGCTCATTCCACAACCAAGCAGGTCTAGGCTGAGTTATTTCTTAAAAGATGAACAACGAACAAAACTTGGAGTTGCTGTACTGAAATTAATTTACCTGTTTTAATCCAGGGTTAAACTGGAGAGAGAGAGGAGAGAGAGAGGAGGGGGGGGGGAGAAAAAACCATTTCTTCTGCCCACTTTTTTCAACTGGAAGAACAAAATATAGCGATTAATTCTAATTCCCACAGCATTTTAAACTTCATGATGTGAAGGAAGGTATTGGTAGGATATGAATTCCATAACCTTTTGGTGGACTCCTGAAACTGTTTTCTTTTCCATTTAATTTTCAGTTCTTTTATTGCAAATGAATGCCACTGAATTTCAATGGGCACTAATGAGACTGCTCCTTGGTGGATTATTGCTGCCTTGCTAATAATTACAAAGTGAGCATGGTCAAATAAAGAGGGGACCACATTTTATTCAAAACTGCTCATCATCCAAGTGGCAAATAATGTCAGTATAATATGCCCCATCTTAAACTTTTTGCGTTAAACAATATCCAAATACTTTTAGAATAATAAAAAAATGACAAAAAAACTTTTAAAAGTAAAATACTCACAGAAATTCAATTCCCTTGGGAAACTCAGTTTTGGAATTTTTTTTTTTTCTGTGTGGTTTGCTTCTTATTACCCATGGAGGGAAGGAGTTGTCTGTGCTAGTTACTTCAAATGCACAGATGCTATTTAATATATTTTCTTTTCTTATCAGTTTTCCTGTTTGGATAACTTTGGATAGAAAGAAAAAAAAATGATTAGGCTCTTTTAAAAACCTTTAATTTTCTTAAGTAGTTCTTAAAAGTTTTGGAAAGCAGTGTTTTCAACTACTTGTCATGACACAGTAGATCAAAAAATTAGTTTATTAAGTCAATTCATTATTAAAGGAATAAATCAGAAAAATATTAGAGTACATGATATTTCGCGAGGGTAAGTTTTGTTCCATGTAAATTTGTGGTAATTTTATGTGCTACGTGTGCCAATTGTGATGTAAAATATATTTGTTACTGTGGGTTGCAGTCAAAGAAATTTGGAAGATACAGGCTTCAAGGGTTATGTTCAGTAAAAACAGAAAATTGAGGCAGTGGCTGTGGTTTTATCTACACAAACCAAAACACTTATTTGATTGTCTTCATTTTATTTTTCCCTTATACATTAGGCTGGTATATTTAGGTCAGTTAGACTAAGGTTTGCTATTTCTGATTCTTAACTTTCCATTTGTAGAATGGTGAACAGCACCATGGGGTACAGTTTGCACTATCCACATGAATGTCCCCCTGGGATGTTCAGTGAGCTTGTGTGAAGTTCACATTATTCAGCATTAAGATGCTATGATTACTTTCTTTCTTGGCCACCATAAACAACCACATTTATGTATGAAGAAAAGTAACAGGTAAAATTGCACAGGTCACATAATAACATGAGAAGGATTATTGCACTTCCCAACAAATAGTTATTAAGAGATAATTAGTTTGTTCACAGACAAGCTGTGATTTTGCAAGATGTGTCTTACCTAAAATTTCATGACGAAGGCCTCTGATCTTGAGTTCTTCTTTAAGGTGCCAATGGCTTAGGGATTTCAAATGCAACTAAAAATGAAAAAATTGACACTGTTTTTTTTTTTTAAATTCAAAGTAGACATTTAATGCTGCATGCTTATTTCAGTTTTATTACTCAGTATTTCTAAAGGCTGAACATTGCCTACTTCTTTTGAGTGGCTAATGTTCAAGTTTCCAGTAATTCTTCCCTTGTGCTTAGATGCTATTTCAGCTCCTTTTCTTTCTGTTCTTACTTTTTTCATTCATTTAAATTGCTACTGATTACCTGACACATACTGCCTTGGGAATGAGTGGATGTTCGGATGAAAACGGAATCACATCTCCAATCTCCATTTCATTTTCACCTACTCCATGTGGCTTGTGCCTGTTTGGTAGAAAGCTCGTGAAGGATAATTGCCACTTATTCTAATCTTCTTTCTCACACTCTGTTAATTTGGATCCCTGGCTATAATTGTTTGTTATTTACTTTTGTGGATATATTTAGGCTATGACATTTATAATTTGAGAAAATTCAGGTTGAAGATTTTTGGTTTCTTATACATTTAAGGATATAAAAGACAGGGGGCAAGAAATCACCAATGGCAGGCACAATAGAAAGCAGGAAAAACTGTAAAAGACAAGTCCGATTTCCCATTAACGATGAGAAAATAGTAATCTTTATCAGGGGAGACTGAATATATAAAAGTAGTATATAACTATACAAATATTAGATATTTTTATTACTTTATCCCAATGCTAATATTTGTGCTGGTGCTTTCTTACTCTAAAAAAGCAGAAGAGAAGAACAGATTTAAGTGGTCAGAAGTTTTGCTATGAATATAGAGTGATGATATTGTGAAATATTTTCCTCTGGGTGCCAAATTTAGGTAAAAATCTTTATTCCATCTGCAACATTTGTTTGCAACCAGGGTTATTCTAAGGAACATTTATTTTATAGATGCATTTTTAGAACGTATCTGATTCTAAAAATCTGATTCAGACTGATTATGTGAAAAAAAATTTCACATAAGGAAATAAATGAATTTTAATTGTATTTTTCTCAACTCCAGAGTGTACATAAAATTAAGACGTCTCACTCCTCCCTGGGCCTTCAGTATTATTTTTAATGTAAATTTAGATGATCTTAGTTGAAAAAGCAGCACTCTGAGTGTGCTCCTTCCTTTTCCAGGAGACTTTAAAGAGGAGCAAGTATGTTCTTTGGTTTAATGATAAGTCTCAGTTTGCTTACCTAAGAAAGGAAAACCTGGGCACTTGTTTGGGATCAAAATGCATGCTCCAGGGAAAGACGCTATATAAATAAAAAATATAGCCACTTGAATGGGAACCAACCAAAGTGAAAGGCACAGGATTTCACAGAAGGCACTTCGTCAAAGTCATTGAGTAGTTTTATATTTTAAATGCTTTCAGTCAATTGGTGAATAATGTCATTTGAAAAAAAAAATAAGTGTGTCTGAGCTGTTCTCTCCACCATCCTAAAAGGTCTTTACCCTGTCTCCTGGAATTGGAGGACTTAGGTGGACTGGAATTTAAGGGAAGCTCCTTTATGATTGTCTTGGTCTCATGAGGGAGGAAAGCGTAATTGCTGAATTCTGTACCTCGGAGAATATTATTAGGAATGATGAGGAAAGTTTGGCCTTCACCAACAGTATTTTAAATGATGTGTATTTTTTAGACCTTATTAAGATAGGAAGGATAGAGCAAACTATGTCAGTCCCATATGTCAGAATTTCATGCCATTTAATAAAATCATAACTTTAAGTAACTTGGTTAAATAAAAGAGGATGCAGCTGTCACTCCTAGGTGGTAAGGCAGGGTGGTGACTGTGTTAATGATGATGGTGGTGGTGGTGATGGCAGTGGAGTTTTGGGGTCAGTTAGGGTCAATGGTAGTTCTGGTTGCTTGTAATATAGCCTGGAGAGGTTTACCCTATATGAAAAAAAAATCAATTTATTATACTCGACTCAATTTTGTGAGGCTATAATTTAATAGTCTGAAAATGTCAATGATGTTATTAATAATAATATCATAAATCTATCAAGG